TTATAAAAGTAAACAAAACAAACCCAGAAATATTCCAACTTCAAATTGACTTGTTAAGTAAATTTATCATATATTTTATAGTACTTTGTTCTACATAACTATATAATAAAAACTAGTTCATCATATAGATCTTATTAATATACGGGCAGGATACCAGTGTACGCTAACCAGTGAAAATTACCACAGTATTAATATAATTAAATTAATAAAATAAAATAGTATTTTCTATTAAAAAAATGTATTTTAATTGTTTAAATATCATAGTCTAATTTAAAACTTGCATAAAAAATTAAAGCATTTTTGAAAATCATTAAATGTAATAACTAAAGCATTTAAGATATGTTTTTAAGGTTTTAAAAAAAACTTGTTAAGATCCATCTTAAATTCAACATTTTAAGTCTTATCATAAACTAAGAGTATTATTAAAAATGTTACTCAATTAAATGGATTTTTAAGAACAACATGCAAATAATATTATAGTTTTACATTAATATATCTATATTTTGAAGTTATAAGATATGTTTAATAATTGATTTTAAATTAATGTTATAGCACCAAAAGTGGACAAGACTCTATCCATTATTGATTGGAATGTTATGGACTCCAATTTAGTTTATAACAAATATCGAGCATTATGTGGCTTGTGGCCATTAACAACCACTTGGCACGGGACACCTGTTAAGTTGTTGAAAGTATGCAATTATCAGATGTCAAATGCAAAAACTCAGTTACAACCAGGAGATTTAGTATATGATAAGCAAAGAAAAAAATTATTTGTTATATGTGGCGGAAAAGGAGGTTGTGTGTCTATTGAAAAACTTAAAATCCCTAGACATAAGACAATGTCGGGTAAAGATTTTTTCAATGGTTTTGTTTACAACAAACCAATTAGTGAACGAAAATTTGATAATACGCAGTAATTTGATTGAAATTTTATGTAAACTTGCAATTAACAAATCCTGTAACTAGTAAATAGATTGGGGTTCTTTTATTGCAAAAAAATGATTGTATAATGTATATTTTAGAGTAAAGTTATTAATAAAAATATTGTTACAAAATTTTGAATTTATATACTGAGTTATCAATAGTTTTAACCAAGCTTTATTTTTTAAATGAAATATTATGTGGGTAATACATTGAGTTATTCAAAGCTTAGGAAATCCAAATTGGTATTTTCATAGGTCCTCACAGTAAGTGACATAATATTTTTATAATATCAAGGTTTGAGTTTCATAAAAATGTAGAAGATTGMGCACGGAAAAATATATTTTTGATTTTTATCAAGTAATAATTTCTGAATTACAAGCCATTATAATAATAATAATAATATCATA